AAGGCCATCCACTTCTGAAAAAATTAGCCACTGAAAATCTTATGAATATCTGTAAAACACTATCTGATATATTAATGGAAAATATAGTGCTGGAAGATGAGCCACTCAGGTTGGGAGGCACTCAAAATACAACTGGGGAAGAGTGACCTCCTAAAAATGGAGTCACCCTTAATGAAGTGGATGGAGTTAAGCTTTTAGAACCTTCATTTGCTGATGGGGCGGGGTGGAAATGGGAAGAAACAGCTGTAAACATTCATTAATAAGGAAAGTGGAATGTACAAAAAAATAATTTGGAAAATTTGAAGTTGTCAAAAATGAAATGGAATGCATAAAGATCAATATTCTAGGAATTAGTGAGCTGAAATGCACTGGTATCGGTCATTTTGAATCAGACAATCATATGGGGTACTATGCCAGGAATGACAAATTAAAGAGGAATGGTGTTGCATTCATCATCAAAAAGAACATTTTGAGATCTATCCTGAAGTACAATGATGTCAGTGATAGGATAATATCCATAAACCTACAAGGAATACTAGTTAATTCTACTATGATTTAATTTTACATACAAATGATTCAAGCCAAAAATGAGGAAATTGAAGACTTTTACCAACATCTGGAGTCTGAAATTGACCAAACATGCAACTAAGGTGTATTGATTTTTACTGATGATTGGAATACAAAAGTTGGAAACAAAGAAGAATCATCTGTCATTGGAAAATATAGCCTTGGTGATAGAAGTAACACCAGGGTTCACATGATAGAATTTTGCAAGAATGACAACTTATTCATTGCAAATACCCTTTTTTCAACAACATAAATGGTGGCTATACATATGGAACTCATCAAATGGAATACACATGAATCAGATTGACTACATTTGTTGAAAGAGATGATGGAGAAGCTCAATATCACCAGTCAAAACAAGTCCAGATGTAAAAAAGACCATCACTTGCTGGTATGCAATATCGAGTTGAAGCTGAAGAAAATTAAAACAAGCTCATGTGGAAGATATGGTAGTTAAGATTGTATGTTAGCTTGGCTGGGCCATGTTTTGAATGACTTGGTAGCTGGATGTGGTTATTCCCCAGGATGAGATTATAATCACCTCCATGGTAGAATCTGCTGTGAGCAGCTAAGTAGTTGCCTTTGGGATGTGGCCTGCTTCCACTTTATATGGAGAAGCTTTGAAAATGGTCTCTAGATTTTTGTCATATTTGGATTGTGCATTTGTTCATGTCTTCATCTGCAGTTCCTGTACTTGAACCAGTCAGTGGCCTGCCATGTTTCTTGCTGATCTTGGGATTGTGCCATTTTACCTGTCAACCTTGGGTTCATCAGCCTCAGCAGCCAGTAGATGTGTATATCAGAACAAGCCTCTGGCTCCAGTGGGCCTAGAACAAGAGGCAGAGCTGAAGCCCAAAGTTGAGGGGCCTTCACCGGGCCTCTAGAGCCAGCACTCTAAATTCAGACTTTTAGCATCCTAAACTGTAAAACAATAAATTCCTGTTTGTCAAAGCCATCCTCTTGTGGTATTTCTGTTATAACAGTACTAGAGAACTAACACAGAGTGTATATGAGAGTGCATGTGTGTGTATATATAGGTATAGTTGTGGGTATTTGTATACACATATTTGTATTTGCTGCATGCAAATACCTATCCAGGGAGCTCTGGAGGCGTAGTGCATAAG